CATCTGCACCGCCGGGTGGGCCCAGGGCACGCATTTGTTTGGGCCTCGTTTCTCCCCAGCGTCACCTGGTACGATTCTAGCGGAAAGCGGACATTTAAACGTGGTGCCCGCCCAGGGACAGGGGTCGGGGCGGCTGCGGTCCAGCCCCCGTGCCTCAGGGCGTGTGGGCACAGAGGGGCTGTCAGCCTCGCCGGCCGGGCAAGGGGCACCGCAGGCCACGCCGGAACAGAGGGGCTCCCTGCTGGTGGGTCTGCACGGTCAGCGGTGCTGCTCGTCAGCCGGGCACCCGCCGCCGGCCCCAGGCCCTGCTTGGGAAGCGGAGGACGGCAGCTCCGCCTGCAGCCAGTGCCACGCGGGCCCTGCATCTAGTGCAGAAGCACCGCCTCTCATGTCAGCGTCACACGGTGACCGGGCACCCGCGGAGGCCACGCCCCGGCCCCCGATCCGAGGCGCCTGCCCTGTGCTCAGCCACTTGCCTTCAGCTCCAGCACCAGGTCCATCCGCTTCTTCCCCAGCGGGTTGATGTCGTTCAGGATCAGGGCCGTGATGATGTCGATGCCGTTGGACTCGTGGGTGGCGATGCAGTTCTGAGGAAACACAGGCACGCACATGCACACGCAGGCACAGGCGTGCACATGTGCACACACACGCACGCACGCGACGCCATCGACAAGCAGTGGCTGCTCTCAGGAAGCTGGCGGTTGGTCCAAAAATCTACTACCCCAAGAGGCCAAGGTCAAAGGTCAAAGCTGAGGGTCCCCCTCTCCTGGGAATGCTGGCGGGGTCGAAGCCTGAACTGCCCGTGTCCCCGCGTGACCTCCAGGCTGCCTCCTGCCAGGCCAGGCGCTAGCTCCAGCCGGGCTCGGCCCTCCTGCCACTAGGGAGCCACGTTCTGGGTGCGGCACAACTTGGAAAACAGGGCCGCCTCCCGGTCTCAGTGTAACTCCCCCTGGAGCGTCTGCCCCCTGTTAGGTCAGAGCGGGGCATTCAGACCGAGCCCCGCGAGGGCCAGCCCACACCTGTGACAGGTGAGCCCCCTCCTCACTGCTGGCGGCGGCCTCAAGTCCCACGCCTCCCTGGGCCGGGCGGTGGGGGGCGCCCTGTGGCTCCTGAGCGAGTCCTC